AGAGAGAGAGAGAGAGAGAGAGAGAGAGAGAGAGAAAGTGAGAAAGCAAACCACCAGGTCCTGGACTTCAACCACAGTCTGTCATGTGGGATTTCAGTGCCCTTAATTGGGATTTCCATGCCACCTGCTGGCCCCTGAGTAGAATTATTTAAAAAAAAAAAAAAATCAAAGGAAGTAACTTTTCATTTTATAATTAGTATTTTAATTAGTATTTTTTCCTTAGGGTGGTATTTAACTATTTGCTGACTCTTCCTCGTTAGTCCTTCAACACATTATCACTTACAACTAGATGAGATACCACAGATCCCTATTTTGGTAATTAGATAATTGATAAAGGAACCAGAAAAGTTATAGTTTTTAAATTGTCAAGAGTGTTAATATTCTGTCTATACTGTTTTCATTGACCAGAGTGTTTCAAATTTGGTGGTGGTAGAGCAGGGCTGGTGGTATAGTTGGTAGAGAGAAAAATGAACTATTGTTTCTTCATCAAATTAATCTCATAAACAGTGTGCACACCATTCTAAAATTAGCACACAAAGGATCCTCAAAAATTCATGGAAAAGGCAGATAATTAAAAAACAATACATGGATTTCAAAATGTTTTTTCAGGGACCAGCAGTTAGTGTAACGGCTATGTTGCTGGACTCTCATGTAGTCGACTGCAGTTCGAGTACCAGACCCAGTGGCTTAAACTCACATCAGGCACGTGTGCGTGCATGCCCAAGATCCCGAGAGGAGAAAGGAGGAGAAGGTATTGTGGTGTGGCCATCCCCCCCTGGGGGGTGATTTCTCACTTTCTATCTCTCTGTCTCTCTCTGTCTTTCTGGTGAGTGCACGCGCCCTATAGCAAAAACCTCTCCAAAAAAGAAAAATGTTTTTTCACCAAAGCAGTATCATACTTTGATTCCATTTTCCATGAACCCTTTTTTAAAAATAATAATAATAATAATAAATGATTTATTTAAGTTTATTTATTTATTTATTTTAATTTGACCAGAGGGGGACAGACTAAAAGAGAGAGAGAGAGAAAGTGAGAAAGCAAGCCACAAGGTCCAGGACTTGAACTGCAGTTGGGCATGTGGGAATCCAGCTCCCTTAACCACCACACCACCTATGAGCTCCTCCCCATGAACCTGTTTGAAATTCCCTTGTGGGATTCTTTTGGAGGATTTAACAAATATGCATATTTCAATGTTTGTCTTTCATAGTCTGACTTCTTTCACTTAGCATTATCTTCTGTACACCTTCCCTACTCAATACATACTGAATGTCTCCACTACACAGCAGAGAGGGGAAGAGAGGAAGATGCCATGAGAGGAAGGACAAACGTGGATACCAGAAACCGTACGTGAGAGGAGTAGGTAGGAGGTGGTGGGAGCGACTCGGAGAAAAACTCCTAATACATACAAGATTGTAAAATTCTCTCTTGAAAATGATGTATATGGTAAAATCCTTGGTTTAATTGTCATGTACTGCATGCATTCCTTGAAAACATATTGTGTGTCATAGAGACGTACAGTGATTGAGTATAAATAACAAATTATAAAATAAAAATTGTGCCCAGCAGGTGACATGGTGGTTAAAGCACTGGACTCCCTTATGGCCAAGTGCAATTTGTGTCCCAGACTTCGCGGCTTACTTTCCTTCTTTCTCTCTCTCAGTCTCTCTCTGGAAAGTGCATGTGTTCTATACCAAATTAAAATAATAATAATAATAATAATAATAATAATAAATTAAATAAATAATTCTTTTTTCAAGTCACTGTAAAAAAATCCCCCAAAACCCACAAATATTTGTTTTGTTTTTCGTTTTTGCGTTGCAGACTAATGAGGTAAATCTTTATGCCAAAGAGCACTCATTGCCATATTTATGATATGCATTCATGTACACTATTACAATTTCTCTTATATTCTGTAGACAGAGGTAATAAAACTATACATAATAGAAAGGAGGAAAATACCTAGATTTGGAGCAGCTTTAGATCATGCCCCAACCTGGCAAGAATTCAATTAGTTCTCTAAATAGCACTCCCCTGAGCTGCTTAATGGAGAGAAAACCATTAACTGAAGCTTGTAAACAAAGACAAGGAGTATAGAGGGTGATTTTTTGATAGGACAGCAGTTAGAGGTGAGTTACAATATCCCTTCACAGGGATTAAACTGCCCCAGCAGGGCTTTTAATAAATCAGCTCCTTGCAGGTGACACCTGCAACTACAGAACATCATCTGCAGGGGCTTTGCCAGCTCCTGCTGCACTGCAAGGTGAGTGAATAAAACGGTTTTGGAGAGGGGATGGGAAGGCTGGAACGAGAGCTGTATCTCTACAGAATGAAAGATTATTTGCATTGCATGGGAACTATTGGATTGTCAGGAAAGTCAGGGCTGCTTTTTACATAGAAAAACAGAAAAGTACAATGCATCATGACTTTCCCGACATCCTAACAGTGAAAGAAGAGAGCTTTGTGGCTTCACACCCTGGTTCAGTGCAAGCTCCCACAAGTCTGTCTACATACAACAACTGTAAGAAATATAATTCAGTGTCAAACTGAATGTCTAAACACAAACATTCCAAGTCTGTTTCTCAAACTTTAGTGGGCCTCAGAATCACCTGAAGTTCTTCCTGAAATCCAGAGGGATGGGCCATACCTCCAGTGTTCCTAATTTCACGTGGTATAATCATCTGCTTTCTGATTTTCTGATCAAGCACCTGCTTTCCTATCAATTTCCCAGATGTTAGGGATACTGATGGTCTGTGTACCACACCATGAGGAGAACTGGATCATATTAACATCACCCTAGAAACAGACACAGACAGGAATAGAGGGACAGTTGCCCTCAATAAGGTCTTCACATGGGATCTACCTGGATGATGGGCACATGAGCATGCTCAGGGTGCTCAGAGAGGCCCTAGGGTACAGGTGCACCCAAGACCTTCCCATGTGAGTTCAGGGGTGTTACTACTGCACCTCCACCTGGCTCCTGGCTTCTGATTTTGACATACATGTCTGTAGGGGCTTTCTTATTGCTTTGCTTATTTGTGTATTGTTTTTTCCTTATTAAGAAGGGAGCTTTAATACCTTTGGTCACAGTGCCTTGGAAAATGTCTTGCATATAGGAAATATTCAGTAAATATTCCTGTACTAGTTCTTTGTAAAAGAACAAAAAATATTTTATACTAAGCTGATGACATGAGTTAATATTTGAGAATGACATGTACATAAATATCAGAAATGTTGAAAAAAATCAGGGAGGCAATATGTCAGAAGGAGGGAGGGAGAAAAGGGGGCAACTGACCAAATAAAAAGCTTCTGAACGTGAGAACAAGATGTTTGATAGGAAGAGCAAACTGTACTGAAAGGAACAGGAGAACTGAATAAAAACAGTGATTTGAGAGAAAAAGAAAATTGTCAGTGTTTAGAGAGGCAGAGGCAGTCTGAAGTCAAGAAGATAACTGTTACAATGCCCACATGAGGTAATTCATTTTTTTTTTTTAAGAGAGAGACAGAGAAACAGATAGTGAGAAATCACCATGGAAAAAAAGGCCATGCCACAATCCCTTGTCCGTTTTCCTCTTGGGATCTTGGGCACACATGTATGAGCACCCAGTGTGAGTTTTAAGCCGCCAGGTATGGGGACTTGAACCACAATTGGTTATGTAGGAGTCCAGTGACATAACCATGACATGCCATCTGCTGATCCTAGGGTAATTCAGTTTTGACTCAGGAAGGATATATCAAAGGGAGAGATTAAGGGAAGAAAACAGGTATAAAACATTATCAGGAAAGAAGCAACATAGTTGCTCTTCAAATCAAGGTTTATTTCAGGAGTGGGTTACAAATGGGAATTATGGGGCCAGCTAGTGGCATGCAGTTTAAGTATGGATCCCACATGGTGGATTCCCTACTTCAAATCCTGGGCCAGGCAGTTTGAAAAAACATGTTGGGCACATGTGTGTGCGTGACCAAAATTCTAAGAGGAGAAGGGGTTGTGGCATGGCCATCTCCCAGGGGATCATTTCTAATTTCCCCTCTTTTCTCTGTTTCTTTCTGTCCCTCTCCCTTGAGTACATGCACCCTTTGGCAAAAATCTTAAAAAAGAAAAAAAAAATGCCACTTCTTTGCTATTCCTCCTATAAAGAGGTTTAACCTCTTTCCCAT